TCCCTGTTACATGTCCAGGACACCAAAATACTTGGTTACATACGTTTGATTACATGCCAAAAAGACAGAATTAAAGACAGCTTAAAACAATTTCAGTGCCATATTACCTGGAGTCATCAGCATATTATTTCTAACAAGTAAAACGGACATGACATTTCTTTAGAGGCATATACTATCTACTTACAAATAATAACTTATGTATTGATTTAAAAAAATATTTCACAATACAGGTAGTTCAGAATCAGTGATTTCTGTTTTCACTATAAAACTTGAACCTACCTGAAATTGTGCTTCTGCCTTAAGAAACATTTTGAAATTACTAAATCAGTATTTTAAAATATTGATGCCATATTCTTCAATACTCAATTACTCTGTTCATTCACGGAGCACAAGGAAATTCAGACGCTATGCAAACAAAATAATAAAAAAACCAAGAACCACACGCAGTTCCTTGCAGAACGTGGCTATGTGTACATTTTTCAAGAGTTTACAGACCGTGGTGACTCTGCACTGAAGGTAAATGATTTGTCTCCTACAGGGAGGGCAACCATCTGCCTCGCCAGGCAATTTGGGTTGCAGGCTCCTCGCACAAGGGACACTGGCAGAGTCTCCAGCTGGGCAGACCTGCTTGGCTACATTTTTACCATGTTTCGGTTTGTGGAATCACAAACAACTGTTAGGGAGGAACAATTTCAAGTTCTTCCCAACTGTCAGGCAGTGTTCAGAAGCTACAGCCTAGAGTCGCCCTCCTGAGACCTTCCATGGACACAAGGTTAACGGCAAATCCACAAACTCCAGGCCCTTGGAAAGACCTGGCCCTGAAATCCAGCTTGAACTGAACAAATCGCAGGGATCTAAAGCAAAGGTTCCCCAACAGCTTCCACTGGGTCACGAGAAGTGACCACAACTCGGACACTTCTACCTTCACCACTGAGCCCTCTGGTCATTAGGGTGCAGGGCACTCCACAAGACATTCCCAACAATAGCTAGTAATGAACTCAAAGTGATTTGGGAACCACTGGTTTCAAGTATTCCCAAGAGGCATAGGCCAAATTCCCCCTTTACTCTCACACACCATTCTCTGGGCTGAAATTATGTTTTCCCTACACAGGGAATCCGGCATCTCCAGCCTAACCACAAGGTTGTGGGCTAGGAAAGGAAAAGGAAACTCAAGGCATAAGGGGGGCTGCCAGGAAGTGTTAGTCAGCCTCAGCAACTGCAGCAATCACACACACTGGATGCTGAGTTTTCAGCACATTTTGAAGATTATATTTCTCCCGATGGGTTCTTGGCCATGGGGACTCCCTTTCTCATTTGAACGTTGCCACTGGGCACAATGAGCTACATTCAACCTGCTTATGTATCTCATACATCACATGAAGGTTAAGGACCAAACATAAGACTAGAAGACCCGTAGAAGCCTAGAGGTAGGGATGGAGGGGGTTTTTTTTGGTTAAGATCTCAACAGAATGTGGCCCAAGGAGAGAAAAATACACCTTGCAGTGAGGTGATGTAGACAGATACCAATTCCTGAACGTTTCCTTTTCTCTGCAGAGAAGGATGCGGGTGTCCTGGTGAACAACGAGTTGCCCACGAGCCAGCAGCATGTCCTAGTGGCCAGGAAGGCCCACGGCAGCCTGGGATGCCTTGGGAAGAGCGTTGCCAGCAGGTCCAGAGAGGTGACCCCTGCCTCAGCTAAGAAATCCTGTCAGGAAAGTGCATCCTGCCATAAAGCAAGTAATCCATACTGACAAATGCGAGGGATTTGCAAATCACCCAGGAGAGCTACGTTACTTTTATAGCATGTAATACAATCGGTTTTCTGGGGTGTTTGAGTCTTTTAAGACTGTAACTCTAAGAAAAAAAGCTAAAAAAAAAATCTAAAGCCATGAAGGACAAAGCTTTGTTACACTGAACAACTTACCCGGCCTGCACGGCACCGGAGTTGAGGGCCAAGCACAAGTTACAGTCACCACGTGCAGCCAGACTCCCAGCACTCCAGGATTTTATTAAGCCACTCACTAGATGAAATGGTAGAACCACCAGACTACACAGTGTGCACTGTGAGCTCCTGAAATGGCAGACGCTTGGGAAGGTTATCCTTAAACGACGGAATATTGGCAGGTGCCAGGAACACGGCAGGAAGACGTCACAATAAAAGCAAAGCAGCATTTATGAGCTAGCAGGTACACCAGCACTTCTCCCATAACTCCCATAACAGGGCAGGAATGGCTGGGCTGATCCAGGGGCCCCGGGGCCCTGCTCACGGGCACTGCCTGCCCAGCTCCTTCTGGCAGATGCAGATGCCTCTGGAATGGGGTTGGGTTTTTTGCACCATGTTGGGTGTCCACAGCTGAGGATCCCAAAGCAAATCCCAAGGTGGAAACGGCATCTGATCCCGACTCCTGCTCCAGTTCTCTTCCCACCCCACAGACCTGTTCAAACACCCCTGGAAAATAACTTTACAGGAAAATTACTGTTCTTTGAATCAAAACCCTTCCACTTCAGAACACTGAACACATCAGGACTCCTGTAAGGCACCGAAGAGCAAAGCACTCAACTCGCTAAACGACATATTCAGCCATAGGTTAAAGCTGCAGAATTCTGTGATTCTGTGATATTTCGCTGCACTGCAGCTTTAACCTCCATTTTACAATTCAAATGAGATTTAAATGTCCCTTAACTGTTTATATTAATAAGGAGGGGAAAGATTACAGGAAGCTGGCTTTGCTTCTGGCAACGTGCACCATGGCCAGCGGGCGCGGGCCGGGCTCTGGGAATACGGGCAGCTTCTCCCCTGGGAACAAGGGGGCACAAACAAGGGCCCCATGGCAGCGGGGGTCTCGCGTCCAGCCCTTCGCAGGCGCTGAAGCCAATGCTCATGATTTACTGCTTCATATTTAGAATGCAGAAATACATAATTTTGGTCATAGCACACTCCACAGGCTACTACTGAAATGTAATTAATAGTAATACAAATAGTAATAATAATAATAGTTTGATAAATGAACTCTTTGGGCTACAGGTTATTATTAAAACAAAACAAATAACAGCAAACAGTTCAAAATACAAATGATCAGAATAAAGGGGGTAGTAGCAGTGGAATAAAACACGACCACAGCTGCTTTGAAGTAATGAGCAGTTTGTTGATCTAGGCCTTTTCTTCAGCTGCTGAACTGTTTAAAACAGCTAAAAATACCTGTTTTTTGCTGGTTTGGGGCTCTCCATTGCTTGCCCTTTTAAGATAATAATATTAGCAAATAATTGCCAAAGGAAGCACGTGCTGCAGCAGCCCTGTTCTGAAGGCACCCGTGAACACACGAAAGCATCTGAGCTCCTGACTCAGGCAGCTCAAACGGTTTGAAACCGGTTTCTGGTTCAACAGAGCGCCTGCTTCATGGACTGAACATTTTTGTCTGTCTGTTTTATGTACGTGGAGCCCAAGCGCCTCCTCGGAGCCGCCTCTGAGGGGCTGCGTCTGCCCGCACGGAGTGCGAGGCGGCACGGGGAGATTCCAGCCAGAGCCACAGCAGCTCTAGGGAGGACACCCACAGCACGAGTTTGCTGCTCCACATCAGAAACGCTGCCAGAATCTCAACTGCCAGTCTTGCACTTTCCGTTGGTATCCAATTGCCTTTTTATATTATGCAGTTCTCTGCCCTTAACTCATACCATGTATATGCACACGCTCACAGGTCAAAGATCATTCTTTAAAAGAAATCAACTTCATTCAGTTGAAAGCAGTAAAGAGATTCACTTGATCAGCAAAGAGTAGGATGGCAAAGTAGAGAAAACCAGACCCCTTTGAAAGGCATGGATTACTTTTCCAGCTGATGGATAGTATGACACTGAGGTGATTTTTATCCTTAAAACGAGGCAAGATTTACAAGCCGTTGCATATTAACGGTGAGACAGCCTGGTCTCACCACCGATTCCTCCCTGTATTAAGATGTTTGTTCATCATTCACTCCCCAATTTTCCTAAATACTTGCTCAATGCTTCACAACACGTGCGTTTTCCATGCACTCCATTACACGCAGAGAACTCCTGCTGCTTGCCTGGCGAGTCGGGACGCCAGCAGCTCTCACAGTTTGCCCTCTTTGAAGAGAGATCCCTCTTAACGCTGGCTCTGACCAGGCTTTTCCTCTTCAGCTGACATCACCCCCCGCTTCCCAATGACAGTACAAGAACCTCCCTACCCTTAAGTCTCTCAGTGCCTCACCAGCCTGGAAGAATCCGGCACAGAACATTATGGATTTGCTCAAGGGAGTGAGACCTTTGCAAACTGCCAAGAACAAATTGTCACTGTGCGTGTGTAACATTATAATGAGATACAGTATTAAAAAAAATATATGTTACAGTGTCCTTTTTCTGGAAAATCAGTGTGGTGCAATGAAATCTCTGTTTATCATGACCAAGTAACATGAAAAACTAAATAAGCAAATGGCAAATTAGTAACATGTTTACATTGCAAAGGATAGAAAAAGGCTTGTATGTGGGCTCAAGTAGGGTAAAGAAATAAGCTTTGACGTAAACACTTGCTGGTTAAAGAAAAAGTTCATCAGAAGCAAATTTAAATGAGATTTCTCCAATTATCTTTTCTCTTCCTGCAGTGATGTAGCAAGTTATATACATGCCCAAGGATTCCCCAAAAAAGGCAGCATCAGCACTGCAGCTGAAATTGCAACTTGCTCCATCTACAGAATAGAGGGACTGCAATTCCAGAAGGCCCCTCTGAGCAAAAGACAAAACCCAAAAGGAAGAAGAAAAAAGCACTTTACTGTTACCGGGCAAGAAAAAGCACCCGTGCCTACTACGTCTCCTTCCACCCTACGTCGTTATAACCATATCAAAGCAAGGGAATAAAAAAGAAAAAGGAAACAGAAAATACCTTTGAAGAGTCACTAACTAACTCAGGGTTTATTAGCCAAGTGCAGTAATTGGAAAGCAGCTGCACAAGTCTACAGTCGTCAGCTGGATGGAAACAGGAGAGCCCTTACCTCCGCGTTCATGTTCCTGGCTTCTCTCCTTGCTGCTTTTTCCTTCAGTCTTTTCTCCTAGAACAAACAAGATTAACAATTTTAAAATCAAATTCTTGGTGTTTTCCTTTTAGTCTTTTAAGATTAAAGTAAAACTGCCTTGGTATTTTTAATGCACACACACTATCTGGTGGCAGCCATCCTACATATTATTGATGAAAATGACAAAGAAGATATGATTGGGGTGTTATTCAATCTTCTTGCTCTTAAAGAACATCAAAAATACAAGACTGATTCAAACACATTATCATCCCCAAGGCACGTAACACTTAAAGGAATCAGGCAGGTAAGGATTTTGACATTTTCCTGGAACAGGTTAATGGAAATGACACCAAGACATCATGCTCTCCATGTCTGTGCATCGACTTAATATGAAACCAAATCCATTTACAAAGTAAAAGTAAAACAGCAGTTTCACCAACTTCAGACCTGCTAAAACCAACTGTGGAGTCAATATAATTTGTAATTATTTATTTCATGAAGTTTGAAGTGAAGGTGAGGCCACAAGGCCTTAGATTAGGTCAGCTAAAACACGTTAGGGGGAAGAAAATCGCAGCTTCCTTCTTAGCTATGTGATGATGTTGGTGCAGAAACCCTTTTACGTCAGCACAAAGCTCTCGTGCCGCTCCAACGCTGCCTCTTTTGTGTTTCTCTGGCCATTTTCAGCAGAGCACATTAGAGCCAAAGTCCACATAAAAGGTCACAATACTGTAGCAGCCCTAAGGACAACATCTGAGCAGGGAGAAGGCTGAAGACTCAGCACCCCTGGGCTCAGCGGTGGGAATAACGGGGACGCTGCAGCTCCAGCAGCCCCGGACACAAAACAACCCCCATGGGCACAACAGACAGGCCCTGAAAGGGCCTAGGGAGCTTGCAGGAATTACCCAGGTCCAAGGCAATTACTAATACAGACTAAAAAACAGGTTCCAGCCCGAAGTCACGTCACCCTACGCCTGCCAGGCGACTCTGCAGTCAGGTAGGAGTCAGAAACACGAAGGCACAGGGACCGAGGGGCATCTCCTGTGGACACGCTGCCCTACAGCCGGCGGCGCCAAGCAGGGCATCGAGAGGCGCCACTCGCCCCGCAGGGCCCTCACTCCCCAAAAGAGGCACCTAGCACCACGTCCAAGACCTCCAAAGGGGGGTTCGGAGGACTAATTCCACAAGACAAGCAAATATTCAAAATGCATGAAAAGAGGATTTAGGAGACATGCTGTCATTTTTATACGGGGAGTCTCAGACATAGAAAAGAGCCCAGTGTTGGCTCACAGCAGTTTTTTTGCGAGCTACTGACTGCTTTTTCTCTTAGCTTCCCAATCCAGGAAACGGGAATGGCGAATGATCAGCCATCTTCGGAAATGATCCGCAATGCCTGAGTAAAAACTTCGGGGTAACTGTGAGTGGATCGAGGTGTAGCTAAAATACTAAAATAATGATTTTTCCCATTACATTTTTTCCTGTTACCACTGAGGTAAGTTAAACCAATTTACTGTGTATTTGCCAATAAACATCTGTTACATACATTAAATCAATTTGAGGTTTTAAGAACACCTTTGCAGTCACCAAAACACCTATATCCTGAAAACAAGGCATCTTTACCACATAGTGCCCTTACAATAACCTCCACATGAATTAGACCCCAAGTAAAAGTAGGAAAGGCAACAGAGCGAGACAAGTCGCTGGCGGGTGCCAAGCTGCCAGAAGCAAAGAAACAGAACCAGCCTGTCAGAATGAGTGTTGATGCCAGGAAAGAAGCAAGAAAAGACTCAAGAGAAGAGTAAAATTAAACAGGAAACATTAAAGAAATAAAGGGTGGTTCAAGAAAGACTGTTCCATCTTAGAGATGAGGAAACACAGGAATAAAGACAAGAACATCAGAGGTGAAGTCAAAACTAAAACAGGGTGAAAAGAAAACAAACCAAAACAAAAAAGAGAGGCAGTAAAATTTCTCTTTCTTTTAACCTTACATGAAATGTAGCCTCTTCTTTTTTGGTTCTTATGCAAGTAAGAGCCAAAACGGATTTTATTACTTAGTATTACTTGGCACTGTTGATAAGCTAAGGAGACATGGGGCAGGGGTAGCCTGGAAAAGGAAGGGGAGGCTGTTCTCCTATCACTCAAGTAGAGGAAATTCCAGCTTAAAAAAAAAGAAAAAATCTAAAACCACTTCACACCCAGGTTTCCAAGCAAAACAAGAAGAATCCTCTGCAAATCTTTACTTTTATGATACAACTGACAAACACCAATATATTGGTGGATCTATCTCAAAAGAACATTATCTGTAGAACATTAGACATCTGCAAAACAGAAGGGCTTCCATAAGGAAATACTCTATGAATTAACTTCTCCCAAGCAGAATGTCATTAATATAGACTTCAGAAAAGGTAAGAGGGTATCAGAAAGGAGACCATCATATTCCAAAGGGAGGTAATAGGCTTCCTTTCCCACTCTTCCCCAGCCAGTTTCTAAATTGTTTGGCTATATATTCTTTGCTCCCTCAAGCCAGACTTGGTTTCTTAGTTTCCTGCAGAAACTCTGATCCTTTTCGAATGTTACCTTTCAAAAAGTCAAAGCAAACAGCGACAGAAAATAGCCCATCAGATATTATAAAACAGGACAAAGCAGTTTTTAATTGGATAGCACAGAGAATTTAAGGCAGGAAAATTCTACAGCACATGAAAAGACGGTGTCTTATCTGCAGCCACCGGCTCAAGGCACCAGAGCAGCAGCTGAAGTTCTCCTCAAGGGATTGACACCGGAGCCTGGCACCGATCGGGCTGTGAAAGCAGGGGAGTGAGATACTGCCACAGAAGGGAACGGTAGCACAGGCAGCCCGATATAGGTAAATCTCTAAAGAATAGCCAAGACACCAAGAAATGATCAAGTTAACAGGTGCGGAAACAGAGATGAAAAGGAATATGGGAGGCAACACCAAGCGGCAGGGTTGGACGGAGTGACGACACCAGGGGGCCTTGGTTCCTCACGGCGCCTACCGGAGCGCTCAGCAGGCCCCTGTCCCCACAGGGCTGCCCCCCTGCTGCCCCCCTGTCCCCACCGGGCAACGCTGCTCCTGGACCCGGCCGGGACCTGCCCTGCTCCGACCTGTGTCCCGTGTCCCTTGTCCCGTGTCCCCTGCCATGCAGCGCTAGGAGGAGCCCGGCCACGGGGGCTGCGACACCCCCTCACAGGGGCTGCTGGCAGGTTCAGCTCAGGAAAACAACCCCCTAAGGACAAGGCTGGGAGAGCTGGGCCTGTTCAGCCTGGAGAAGAGGAGGCTGAGGGGGGACCTGATCAGTGTCTATAGAAACCTCAAAGGAGGCAGTGAGGAGGAAGGGGTGGCCACTTTTCAGTGGTGGCCACTGACAGAACTAGAGGAAACGGCCACTAACCGAAGCATCAAAAGTTCCACAGGAGCTCAAGGAAAAACTTCTTTGCTGTGAGGGTGCCAGAGCCCTGGAAGAGGCTGCCCAGGGAGGCTGTGGAGTCTCCTTCCCTGGAGATCTTCCCAACCCGCCTGGCTGCCACCCTGTGCCCCGTGCTCTGGGTGTCCCTGCTGGAGCAGGGGGCTGCACTGGGTGATCTCTAGAGGTCCCTGCCAACCATAAGGATTCTGTGACTCTGTCACATTGCTTCCATTTATGTGCAGGTTGAGCAATGCCTAAGTACAAGGTGTGTTATGCTGGGACCCTGCTGAGCACAATTCTCCCCCGTGAGGGCCTCTCCTTGTGTCCCCTCGAGGACACAGACGCATGTTCCACCACGCCGAGGAACAATGAGACACGTGGAGCAGCATCGACCGCCTGGCCCTGGGCTGCAGGGAACCCCTCCGGCACCGCCAAACACCCATCTCCACAGTTTCAGACCATTACTTTGATTCCAGTGTCAGTCATTCCCCCATTCCTACTGCTAGGGAGAAACACAGGATGTGCCGAACACACATGCAAAATCACTGAAAAAAACTTGAGGAAAGGCTTAACTAGCCAAACAATTTGATATTCATTTACTGTATGTCAATAAATCCTCTTCATCTCTGATATACCTGCACCTAGCTGTTACCTAACTGTTGAGCTGTCTGGTGTTAGTTTTTACACACACACACAACCAAAAACTCTGGATTTTCTTGGGAAAAAATCTAATACATACACAAGAATACAAGATCTTATCACTGCTCTATCAAGCAATAAATCATCACTTGCAAGACTAGCACATAATTTAGAGATGAAAATCAAATTCCCTAGGGAAGGAGAACGGAAGAGTGTCTCAAGGCCTGAATCCCTGATTACACAGGCTGCTGGCTGGCTGTATCACACAGGCTCAGCGAGCCCAGCGCCGCGAGGCCTCGCATAAAGCTCTGGAGCATCTCAACCTGGGTTAAGTGCTTGTTGCCTGCAGCAGGGCAGTCAAGGACCCGGATTTACGTTGCACTGACACTCGGGCAGCTCTGCTCTGCACCCTGAGGGGTCTGTCACTGCCTCCAAGAGCTCCCTACCCGCTCCCTTCTTTGGGCCATCAACACTGAGCATAGGAAAGAGGTGAAACTAAAGAGCAGGGCAACAATTGTAGCTGATGGCTCCATCCAGAAAGTTCTTCTAGCCTCTCTGGAGCAAGGACCTCTTAGAGACAGCGGTGAGAAGACGTGTTTATCTGTTCGGTCAGCAACGCAGGCAGGTTTTGCACAGTGGCTAAAAGCAGATTACCTCTGCATCATTCAAGGCGCAATTTGGATATATCCATGATTGGATATATCATGGTTCGTGGTTTGCCATAGGTTCATAGCCCTACAGAGCAGGAGAGGCCCCGGGTCAGCCTGCCTGACCAGCACCACGCAAGCTATGGGACCGAGTCTTGTTTCAACAACCCGATTTAGCAACAAGCTCAGCCTGGATTTAAAAGCTGTCCCAAGACAGTCCACCACAGACCTTCCAAACCAGCAGCCACCACCCAGGCAGGAACTTGCCCTCTGTACCGAGGTCTGAACACACTTCTCTGATTTGCAGCCCCTGGAACTGCTCCTCCTT